TATAACAATACACAGATGCGTAACCTTGCGTATATGCATCAAGTGTATTGTATATGGCTATTTCGGAGATGCGAGAAAGATTCGGAAGTAGATAATTAAGAGGAAATTTACCTGATTAACTAACCTAACCTAACCAAACCATATTCAAACGCCGCGCCCGCCTCGCCGGGGCCGCACATAGATGTATTTGGTCTATAAACCTGGCCAAAAATGATATTTTTTTATTTTCATTTTTTATCTTAACTGAATACAAATCTATAAATACTAAATGTAAGCACGTTTATTAGTTATTAGCTTTTTTAAGTCGTAAGTTGACTGTCAAATAAATAATATATTTCAGTTAAATGTATGAATTATCTTGAGTGTATTCTGAATATTTCTAAGATTATAAAAATGTTTGTAGTGCTTTTTTTGCAAATTGTTTATAATAACTGTCATGATGGATACAGAGCCAGCTTTGTTTGTTTGCTCTGTTCTGTTTTATGCCATATTTTTATTTTGAAACGTTTCCTTCTATTCTATTTTTTTATAATGTTTTAAAAAATCAGTGGCATTTTTATAAGGTGTAAGACTATTCGGCAATATTCCGCATGGAAATTAGTATCCGTTCAATGCTTAAAGTCTCCAGCATTGGAATATGCACAAAAATCTTGCCAATATTTGCCACTGCCAAAAAAACATTGATTTAAATAGATTCTTAAAGGAAATAGTCTTTACCCTATTAACACCCATCCTCGCTCAAATATCGTCTATAATATACAAATTACTTTCTTGTTCTAGCATCCTCATCCAATTGCTTGGTTTTGCACAGAATGGCCCTATTTGATCGGTGGAAAGGGTTTCAGAGTAGAGGAAAAAATATTGTGTAGGAAAAACAAAATGGGGTTCCATATTAGCAACCTCTCCTCTAATTAATAATTAATATTACTAGCAAAAAAGCAAAAAAATCATAAAACATAATTTTGGCCAACTTTTAGTTCTTAATACCCCCTGTGCGCCGTCGCACATAGGTCATTTTATGCATTTTAGGAATTAATAAATAAAAAAATTGAATGTCGAAAAAAATATTTTTTTATATTTCATCTTGAAGCTAGGGCCCCATAGATATTATTTCTGCAATATTATATTTTAATATTAACAGAGGTGGCCATGGCGAGAATGATAATATCAAAGTTTGTTTGAATTATTTCGCATTGTAAAATTACTGTCATTAGTTCATAAAGTTTCGAATTTTGTTGTTACGAATAAAAAGTGAGTTTAAAAAGTAGTGTTGTGTTATTGTGTACCTTAAGGTAAGATTTATTATAAAAAAAATAATATCCGTGTAAAAAGCTTGTGACTTGGCGAAAAGATAAAATGTTTTAATAATAAGAAAAAAAAGGTTTTTTTTTCATAACCTTGTATTTAAAAAGGTTTATAATTCAGGATTTATACAGATTTATTTCAAGAATATTTTTTTCGTATTCATAATCTTTTTATCGATTAATCTATCCTAAATTTAGCTGCCAAGATGTGCCAAGAGAATAAATATATATTGTTTTAGGTACCATGTCAATAGAAAAATCTCTCTTGTTTTTTGCTTGATGTGAAGGCAATTCTTTGAAGGAAAAAAAATGCATCTGTTTTGCGATTTGTTCTGAATACGCTAAACTTAGGGCAACATGATGGCGACGAACATTATAATGAAATAGTGGAAATTATTAAAAAATTAAATTATTATTATTATTACTCTTTGTCTAAATGTCTGGGAGCACGGTCAAATAAGGAACCACTTATCAAGAGGTTCTTAATTTACTTCGAGGGCGTACTTTACAGGCATCAGAGTTAGGACAAAATGATGAAAATATTAGTCAGGATGATGATGATCATTATTGATGATTGAATATTATTGTTACATAAATTTCTCTAGTAAAATAGTTTTATTATCATTTTATTTATATTTGTTAAATGTTTTAGGTTGCTTTTTTCATTGTTCAAGCTAATTTTTACTTTCAATTACTAATACAGTACATCTTCTGTAAACCTTCTAGATACTAATAAATTCACCTACAAAAAGTAAGGAACTACAGTTTTTGTTTGAGTTCGATATAATAAAATGAAAAAAAAAAATAATATATTTCGTAAGACACCCTGTACAAGCATAAAATGAAACAAAATATCATTATTCCACGCATTTATTTATTTTCTTACCAAACAAATTATTTCTGTTTTAGAAAATAATTTAAATTTTAAAGGCATTATTTATTACCGCCTAAATTGGCGAAAATGACCTATGTGCGTCGGCGCGTGCAAAAGCAGAAATAAATAAATTTTCGTTCCGGTAAAAGCGAGAACGCCGATGAACGCTGGTTGACGGTGCCTGCCTGCTTTCACTGTGAACTAGCCGATTTGATAACACGCTTTAATTTTTCAAGGTTATAAGCGCGAGGCGGCGCGGCGCGGCGCTACTATGTAACCATATACAGGGTGTCCCAGAAATACGTGCAAGTATTTTAACTTAACTGGTAGTATAGTTCAACCCCAGAAACACGCCTATGAGGTTTTTTTCTAAATATTTTTTTTTGAAAATTCGGAATTTTTTGAAAATATTTTTGGAATTTTTTTGCAATTTTTTTTAGTTTTTATTTAAAAAAATAATTTCTTGATAATATGGCAACATAGGTAGTAGATTAAATTTATAAGAAAGAAAATCCAGAAAAGATCCAGTGGTTCTCAAACAAATCTCGAAGTATTGGAAAGAATATGTAAGGACCAAGAACTATTGACTACAATAAAACGACGAAAAGCAGCATATTTTGGTCATATTTTTCGAAATAACAAATATAGTTTCCTACAGCTGATCGTTGAGGGAAAGATTGAAGGACGACGAGGCATCGGGCGTAAACGGTTTTCCTGCATGCGGAATTTGCGCCAGTGCCATGGTTTAATATAGGAGAGGCAAGTGCAATTATCCGTTTGGCTCAAGACAGGGAGGAATTCCAATTGATGGTCGCCAACCTCCGATGAGGAGAAGGCACATGAAGAAGGTTCTCAAAATTTGAGCAAAAAATCATTTTTTTTGGAAATTTTCAAAGTAAAATAACTCCGTTATTTTGGACTTATTTGAAAAACGATAAAGAGAAAATGTGTTTCTTTTATCGAGATCTACCACCCTTTAAAATACTTGCACTTATTTCTGTGATACCCTGTTTATAACAATACACGTGATGCGTATACGCAAAGTTGCGATCGATGTCAAGAATAGGTGCCCAGATTGGCGCTGACTACCAGTAAGCGGCAAACCTGCTTGCACTGTGTTCGCACACTTAGGCTCCTGTTTTCTCCTTTTGTTTTTCATAATTTTTTTATAATAATATAATATACATACATATAATAGGATATAGAATATAATTACAATATTTTTATTATTTAATTTTATTATAATGAATTAGTATATAAAATTGTATATGATATGTTGTTACCCTTAACTGATTAATATAACAGTAGTATCGTTTGGTGAGTAATACTGGCAACATCATTAATATATCGAGCTGATTGGGGAAATTATTGATTGACTGAATGTCAATAAAAGTGTATGGTCCACGGATATTTTTAAAAAGCAATGTTCTCTGATTGTTTTAATAAAAAACTGTAAAATAAGCTTTTGTTAATACACAACATAATTTGATATAAATCCATTCAAAAATAAATAATTAGACGATTTTTTAAATATTTTAACACCGTAGATTATAAGTCGATAAAAGGCGGACCGCCCAAACAGTAGTCACTCTTGCCCTGTGATTTACGATTTTAAGTTTTAGAAATATATTTTTTTACTATATTGTAATTAATAATATTAGATAATGATTAAAACTTATCTACCAATTTAATCTACTATATCGGTACCATTTTTTGATGCTGAATGTCCGAATTCACGTGAACGAAATTTGAATGAATCGTCATTTAGCTGTTTATGATGCTTATAATAGTTTTCTTTTTCTGTTGATGGCGGACTGTTGATTCTTATTAAAATAAATTCCCCTCTTAAAATAAAATATAGGTACTTAAAATATTGTGAAAATCCGATGTATATTCAGGCTCTTATTTTTTTTCGTGAAAACATAAAAATATTAAATTATTTCCTCAAAATTAATAATAGTTTAACTCACACAAAAATGCGATTATAATAAACGTTTAATATTCAATCGAAATAAATATCAGTCGGTAAATTAAACAGTGAATTGATATTAATACCACTGTAAATTTGGTTCGCTTTACGGAAAACATTTTCAATATATTAGTTCCATTTAATATCGAACAAATTTCCCCGGGTTTAAACACACCATAAAGCACACGTATTGCTTTTTAC